AACCACAGACCACCGAGCTACCACAGCCCTCTGTGTGGAGCAGAGAGTTGCTTTCTAGTGTGCCCGAAGGAGCAGATGGTGGGGGTTAAGGGCCTTGCTCAAGGGCCCAGAGTGGGGCAAATTAATGTGGAGGCAGGTGTGGGTGCTTCACCTTTCCCACCCATCATCTTTTGTCCCATCACCACTCTCAAACCTAACCCTAACACCATGAGGAGTATCAAGGTAAATGAGCCCTAATAAATCTCCATCAGCCTCTGCAGCTTTAATTTCCACGAGTCAGTCTCCCAGTTGTAGTTTAGCGTTGTCTTTTTTATTTTTATTTATTTATTTATTTATTAGCATTTTCAGGAAACTCAAGCCTTCTGAAAAACAGCTCTCAGTCTCTTTTGGGGAATTGTAGAATTCACTAATCAGTTTCCACACTGCTTCCAGTCCCTTTTCTGGATGGTTCACATAGACAATTCTCATTTTTGTCAGGTGGGTACATTTTATGGTAATGAGTTCTCACAGGTGTGCACAGTAAAGCTTGTATCTCTGGATTAACAAGGGAGTGATGGCACAGAGGTTAGAGAAGGTGGACCTGTGATCAGAAGGTTCCTGGTTCAACTCCCGGTACTTGCAACATCAAAATGTGGGTGAAGCACCCACACATGCCTCTACTCTCATTTGCTCCACTCTGGGCCCTTGAGCAAGGCCCTAAACTCCACAATCTGCTCCCGTGGGCACACTAGATAGCAGCTCTCTGCTCCACACAGAGGGCTGTGGTAGCTCCGTGGTCTGTGCTTGCATCAGGAAGGGCATCCAGCGTAAAAATAATCAACAAGTCTTCATGCGACTTCGTTTGCAGTGGCGACCCCTAAAGAAGAGAGAAGCCAAAAGAAGAGAAAGAAAAATCTGGATTAACAGGTGGAACTTTCACTTTGAACATGGCTGGGGTATCTGTGCATTTCCCTTCAGTGCATTTCTTTGTGTGTGCTATTTTGTCTTTAGTTGAATATCTATCGTGCTTAAACTATTGTGTTCATCATGGAGAGCTGCCTCTAGAAATTCTGCCTTGGCTTCTGCTGCTGCAGCTCTTTTCTCCATGTGCACTGTATGTCTAATCCTGCTCGTTAAAGCTTTAATTGCTTATTATTTTCTTGCAAATGCTGCTTCAGCATCAGCTCATGTTTGGGCAGCTGCTTCTTTGCTGTCCAATGTGCTTTTAAATCCTTCAGATAAAAATAATGCAGAGAATATGGTCCTCACTGATCCAGAGACAGAATTCCTTTTTGACATCTTGGCTGTAAACAGATACGTGTACTCACTAATCTCTTAGATTGAGTTTGCACGAAAACTCCTCTCCAGTGATAACACTGAAAATGTCTTTCTGGAAATATTCTTTGTTGGAGCCGCAAAGAGAATAACAAAACTGGGATGAAAAGTTCAGCAAATTAAAACATTCATAAAGAATAAAATAAAATACAGCATACAAGAATGTCGGCCATAACAAATGGACTTTCAAAATATACAGCACACTCCAAACTAATCCATCCTCATGCACTGACAACTTAATAAAATCACTGAAATGACTCGTTGCAAATAAAATACATACCATTTTAATTAATAGTGAACGCTTGACCCACGCCATGCATCTGTCACTCTTATGACGTACAATGTTGAATACCCCAAAAATGATGCAATCAAGACAGATTACCAAATGTAGCTACATCTTGATACCACTAGATGCTGCTGTTATCATTTTAAATCATAGAAGATGTAAACTGAACTCACACATAAACATCAGATTGGGCAGCGTGATGGATTAGTGGTTAGCACTGTTGCCTCACAGCAAAGCAGTCCTGTGCTCAATCTCCAGTTTGGACCTGGAGTCTTTCTTTGTGGAGTTTACATGTTCTCATGTCCAGGTACACTGGTTTCCTCCCACAGTACAAAAAACATTAGTCTACCTTCAGGCCCAGGCCTTCGTTGCAAAAGACATCTGTGATTTCAGTGGGATTTGCCTTGTTAAATAAAGGTTAATAATAATAACATTTGGATAAAGAAATACTGTGTAACACATTATTTGAGTGTTCAGTTATAAAGTCATTTTATTTGAACTAAAGCTGAAAGGATTTGTTCTCATCAAATAGACAATTTTTGCATTTGCATTACTGTTGAAATACCCCAAAAGTTCTGCTTTCAAAGCCAATGACTAAACCACATAAGAATGGAATTTCTTTTCTTTGCTTAATATGTGAACAAGTTCCCAAGGTCAGGAAATGAATGGCAAAGAAACACAATGAATCCATGGACCATGCTGTGGGGCCCTCTGTCATTTATGGGAATGTGTTTAGAGAGAACTCAGCCCTGCAGACCAGGGCGTAGGCCACTTCACATAGACTTACAAAATAGCTGTACTTCTTTTTTCCAGTTTTTTTTTATGTGCCACTATCACCAGAGTGATAATCATGAGTGGGAAAAAAGGAACCCGATAAAGAAAAAGAAAGAGAAAACAAGAAAAATCTGAGATGGACATGGGAAAAACACAAGTCCGAGGTTTTTAAAACGCATTGCTGGTAAAAGCTTAAAAAGCCGAAAGAATGAGGAGGAGGAAAGTGAAGAATAGCTGCGTGCTGAAACTTTTAAAGAAGAGAGCAGAGGAGATGAAGCTGCAGCATCTGGCAGCTTTGACAGTTGAGATTTTCACATCCTATTTAAAAACATCTTGGACTGTAGAAACACGCGAGGGGCTGTGAGAGTGAAGGCCTGACAACGGAGTGATGGGGACATGGAGCGAGGGTCAGCAGATAGCAGAGGAAAAATAGAGCAAGGAGAGATGGGAGAGGCATGAAAAAGCAGGAAATATACATGGGGCAGTAAAAAGCATGGTATGCAGGTTTTCACCAGCTGTATGGATTACTCTGAACTTACCCCTTAGATTTTGATTCAGTAATTGTTGGATTTGGATTTTCTAAATAAAAGCACAGTCAACAGTTTTTATTTTGTTTTTCAGGGGAATCTGTAGATGAGTGGTTAGAGCAGTTGCCTTCCAATGCGAGAGTTAGGGGTTCGATTCCACCAGCAGTCACATGCCGAAGTGTCCCTGGGCAAGACACTGAACCCCTCATTGCCTCCGATGTGTGTCCCATCAGTGTATGAATGTGATCAAACACTGATTATTCTTTGTACAGATCTAGTAGAGTGCTGTATGAATGGGCAAATGAGGCACAGATTGTAGTGTAAAGTGCTTTGAGTATCTTGATAAGATAGAAAAGTGAAATATAAGTACAGTCCATTTACATTTTTTATTTTTTTTTCATTTGCTGCATTGCAAATACTGCTTTTTCTGTCAGATATCCTGTGTGGATGGTTTGACAAACTGCGCAAAAATTTGTTTTAATTTCCTAGTGCTATCTAAAAAAGGGAAAAACTAAAATGTCAGACATCAGAATTAGAATCTTCCTGCTTGCTCTCGATGAAAGCAGACACTTTCCCTCCTGCTTTTACTCTTTGTCATGTGAACCCTATCAAGGCCTCTCTTTACATATCGTCCGAACTGTAAATTATGGATCTGGTCAGCTGGTCTCTCAACACAATTGATAAAATGTTCTCAACCAGAAGACAGGGTGAAGGACAGCCCTCTTGCCCAGATGGGACACTTGCAGCTGGATACACTGAATTCCTGGGGGCAGTAGAAAATCTTGTTTCTGTCCGTATTGTCAGTAGAGGATGTAGAAGACGCGTACATAATTGGATTTATGATAACAGGATTTCTGCTTTTTGGACTTGGCGGTTATCTGTCATAACGACAAACGTGGAAAAACATCGGCAGCTGTTCTGCCCATTGTAAGGCTGCCCGGCTTGTGTGAAGGAAGATGCCCTGCTGTGAACTCAGACTCAGATGCTGTGTGAGCTGAGCCGTAAGTTGGACGTGATTTCTGAGAATCACAAGCCACTTGCGGCTCCTGAAACTCGCTGGTGAGAAGGAATCAACTTGGAGAAGCTACAAGCTCGGCCCGGCTGTGTTGACCACAAAATTTGGCTGTTTGGAGTCGACATTAAGACGCACCAGTAGAACTATGAAGGCAGACAAAAATCAAGCAGAGTCGGCCTGACCCAAAATAACTGTTGTTATCTGAATCTGGCTCCCTTGCTTGGCCTTGAATTGACCAACTATCTCAAACTCTCCTGGAAGTTATATGAACAAGAAGCTCTGCCCCCCGCCCCTCCCCTCTACCTGCTCCCTTCCTGATGACATCTGTCGACCTGTGTCTGAACTGAGCCAGCTGATAGACACTGCACCAACTCATATCAGGACTATGGAACTATCTGGCAGTGTCCACGGACAATCAGTATCAGTCATCAGTATCATGAATCATGATGTTTATGTGCTGAGGTCTTTTTTTTGCAACTTTCACACGGTGTCCCATCTAGGACACGGTGCGAGATATGATTTTTTAATACATCCCCTCCCCTCGTGTTTCTCTTTTTCTTATCTAAACGAAAAGGGCAGCGGCTCTAATGAAAGGTCAGAACTATATGAATCACATTCTACATCCAGCTTTATTGTCAGCATGATTAAAATATGCAGTAAATTATGAATGAATATTAAGGAGGCACACAGCAATAACACACATGTCCCCATTCAGTCATTTACATTCAGAAATACAAACCTGGAGTCTTCAAAAAGCGTTCAATACAAAAACAACTGGACTTTATTTGTAACAGAAGACATTTCGCTGTTTTCCTCAACATTGAAATAACAACCAGCCAACTGGGGAAATCAGGATTCACTTGTGGAGAGGCTCGGACTCAAACCATCAGTCTCTCAACTGAAAGGTGACCCCTCCACCTTGAGCCACAACTTTTCCCAAATCCCCATGACAACTGAACAAGTGTTTCAACTATGGTCATCACTGCTTAATGCCCTATCTTGGAGTCTCTTCCTTGTTCAAACCTTTGCTTTTGCAGTGACTGCACATTTCTTTTCTCGGAGCTGTGCAAGATTTATTTCTTGCTCCTTGTTTAAATGGTGTTTGTCACTGTTTTTTCTGTTCATTCAGTTCTCGAGGCAAAAGTTGGTTAAAGACTCCATGTGAAAATGTTTCATGAATGAGGCAGCTAAGAACTGTTTCATCTAAAGCACAAACTGTTTTGATCTCAAATGTAGCTGGGAGCAGTCCTTTAGTGTGCCAACCAAGTGTGCCAGAAGTTTTGAACCACAGCCAGAGGAGTTATATAACTCTGAACATAGTTCCCCACAGTCACACTACAGCTCCTTGATGGACAGCAACACACTACTGGCTTCAGTTGACCTTTCTCACCCATGTGTAACATCACATCAGGACTCCTTTCAGGGATAACAGTCTAAATGCACATTTGTTTTCACCAAGTATTTACACATAGATCAACAGAAATGTTTTTGTAGATGTAATGGAGTTGTGTTCTGGGTACATGAGCTGCACCAAACAGTTATACCCACAAATACACTGATGTCCGATTAAATTTCTGCCTCAGTTTTAAGATAGATTCATTCAAGGTTTTTTTTAAACAATGCCTTTTTTTCCTTCATTTTATTCCTTCTAATAGCCCTGACTTGTTTTTATTTCCTCATCTCTTTCACATTCCTGCCCTCCATCCACCCCTCTGCTGACAGCTTACCTTCACACCAAGGATTGAACAGGATGATGACGTTCTTGCTGGAGTTGTGAGCGGTTGGCACCTCGTCCAGGGACCGAGTCATCACAGTGAGCTCATACAGGCCGATCACAGCATTGGCAGGAGAGTTTACGGACAGCTTGATCTTGTTGCCCTTTTGCTCTGTGATCTTGGCCTCCCAGCGTTCGTCCTCCAGGTGCTCCACAAGCGGAATAATAACATGAGTCATTTTGGACACCTTGGGCAGGAGACCTGAAAGAGACAGGTGAAATATTTTTATTGTAATGTATCTCTTGCTGGGGCGGCATGGTGGCACAGTTTGTAGAGGTGTCTCCTCTCAACGAGAAGGTTGCCAGATTGAATCCCAGCTGGGGGGCCATTCTAGGTGGAGTTTGCATGGGTTTGCACCATGTACTCCGGTTTCCTCCCACAGACCAAAAACATGCATGTTAGGCTGACTGGAAACTCTACATTTTCTCTTGGTGTGAGTGAGAGACTGAATGGTTGTCTCGTTTGTCTCCCTGTGTCCCTGTGATGGACTGGAGACCTGTCCAGGGTGCCCCCCACCTCTCGAACAGTGATAACGGGACATGGGCACCAGTGACCCTCATGATCCAAAAAGGATGAAGCTGGTAAAGGTGATGGATGGAAATAATTTGGGGAATCCTAGTTAGTCTGATTTGATGTCAGACAGTGAGAAAACACGAACGTTATTTTTCTTTTAAAGTGTATGTAAACATCTATTTTCAACTGTTACATGTATGCAACACATCGTGTTCAGTAAACTTTAGTTCTCCGGACAGCAATTATTCACTGAGAAGTTTGAAGTTTAAATCATTTTAGCTGCAAGCTGTGGAGAGGACCTGCAACTTTTTTTGGAAACAGTCAATTCAGTCCTGCTGCTGTGTTAGTCAGTCAGTTCTGGAAGATAAGACCAAATTGTAAACCACAAATGCATCTCAGCTTCTCCCGGCTGTGCTTTGAGTCAATTTTGTCTCAAAATCCCCCAACACACCAGTTTTCCTTTTTCAGGAAGAAAACAATATGTTTATCCATATAATTATCTCTAATCTTTGTTTTTTACCTAATGTTTTATCTACCAACAAACCCTATAGCTTGGTAAAGATAAGCTGGATACTTTCCATTGAGCTGTTAAAGTTGTGGCACCTAGCCGAGCAGCCACTTTCTAAACCAACATGGAGTTTTTTAAGGAAGCATTGTTCTACATCCTTCTGCAAACAAGACTTTTTGACCTTCCCCTCTCACCTCTGAATATTTATTCAAAAGGAAATATATTAAAAACAGCCAGTCTTATCTGAAGGAACAACTTTGTCTGTGTGGAGAATTCTCTATAGTTTCTAATCACATAAACCTGGGCTGTGACCAATTCTTGCTGTTAAAGGTTTTCTTTGCAGATGCAGCTAAGAAAGTTGTCTAAGCATTGGCTGACAGCGAATCACCACAATGTGATGATGTAATGACCATTTATTCTCAAGTGTATGGGGCCAGTACATACCAGAGGAAGGTGTTTGGTGTCCTGAGGTCTGGAAACTGTTAATGCTGACGGCTGCTGGGTGGAATCCAGAACTCAAGGAAAGCTAGAGTTGAACTGCTGCTTCATTTAAACTTGAGAGCTACTATGCAAGGTATTTTGATCACATGTCACGCTCATCAGTGTTTTATTTTACTTCTGACTTGTGTAGTAGAGGTTAAAAAGGAACTCTGTCAGTTTTGCACACAGAAAACTAGAAAACACCCTGTAATCAATTCAGATTTAAGAACAATTTAAAAATAATTACTCCCTCTACCCATCATGTTTCACATACAGTGCGTAAAATATGTTTCACATACAGTGTAAAAATATAACTGGTTTACAAATATCAACCTCTGAACAACTATTTAATTTGTTAATGCAACTATTTCAGCTTTAAATGCTGATTCCATTATTTAATTGTTTTACAGTTTAACTACTGCTTCTAATAGAGATGCAACAGGGAACCTGCATGTAACCAGCACCAGATAATAGAAAAGCCTGACTGGTCTTGATTGTCAACCGACCAATCAACACTCTAACATTTCATATTTTTCCAGTGAACACACCATCCATCCATCCATCCATTCATCCATCCATCCATCCATCCATCCATCCACTGATACAACCATGCATCCATCCATTCATCCATCCATTCATCTGTCCATCCGTTTGTCCTTCCAATTATCATTTTCTACTTGTTCAGGGATCTGGTCACAAGGGCAGCATCTTTATCAATCTCAGACATCTCTTTCCACTGCTCTTCTGGGAGGATTCCAAAGTGTTCCCGGATGAGTTGAGTGACATAGTTTCTCCAACATTTCTTAGGTCTCCTCAAACTTGTACTAGGGACATCTCCCTACAGAGGCATCCAGGAGACATCCTTATCAGATGCCCGAAACATCTCAACTGGCTCATCTTGATGTGAGAGCAGGGGCTCTCTTACGAATCTCTTCAGGATATCTGATCACGAGTGAGGGAAGAATGGAGCATGACATTGACAGACAGATTGGTGCAGCGTCTGCAGTATTGTGGACTCTGTACTGGTCCATTGTGGTGAAGAAGGAGCTGAGCTGTAAGGCAATGCTCTCTGTTTATTGGTCGGTCTAAGCTCCTGCCCTCACCTATGGTCACAAACTCTGGGTACTGACCGAAAGAATGAGATCGAGGATACAGACAGTTGAAATGAGTTTCCTCCGCAGGGTAGCTGGACTCTCCCTTAGAGATAGGGTGAGTTCAGTTATCCAAGAGAGACTCGGAGTAGAACCACTGCTCCTCCACATTGAGAGGAGCCAGTTGAGGTGGTTCAGGCATCTGGTAAGGATGCTCCCTGGGTGCTTTCCCAGGAAAGTGCTTCGGGCATGTCCGACTGGGAGGAGACCCCGGGGAAGAACCAGGACACGCTGGAGAGACTATGTCTCTCTGTTGGTCTGGGAATGCCTTGGAATCATCTCAAAAAAGCTGGAAGAGGTGGCTGTGGAGCAAGATGTCTGGGCCTCCCTGCTCAAGCTGCTGGCCCTGTAACCTGACTTGGGAACAAGCAGAAGATAATGGATGGGTGGATGAACTTCTCACCCTATCTCTAAGCGAGAGTTCAGCTACCCTGCAGAGAAAATTTATTTTCACTGCTAGTATTCCAGTTTGGTAGCCTCAGGATTCTGTCTCTGCTATAAAGAGATGATCTGGTTCTGTTGGCATCAGGTCTCACAGGTCTCACTTGTAAATGAGTCTTCGAGGCTCAATGTGACTTGTCTGTTTAAATAAAGGTTGAATGAATGAATGCCTAGATCTTCAGCTCGCTGGAGTGGTTCACAGCAGCAGTGGTGGAGAAAGTACTCAAACACTGTACTTAAGTAAAAGTACAAATAAACAGACAAAAATGTACTCTCGTAAAAGTAGAAGTACTACACTTACATTTTTACTTAAGTAAAAGTAAATAAGTATTTGCTTTTAAAATACTTAAAGTATTAAAAGTAAAAGTACTTCCTGAATGTATTACATAATGCAATGATCTACATATTGTAAGGATGTTAGTTTTCTGTGGCCCGGTGTGTCTGTGGCCCGGTGTGTCTGTGGCCCGGTGTGTCTGTTTCCCTCGTGCTCCTCATTAGTTCCATTGTTGCCACCTGTGTCTCGTCCCAGCTGTTTGTTATCATGTCTCGTCTTCTCCTTGTATTTAAGTCACCCTATTCTGTCTTGTCCTTTGTCGGGTCGTCTTCGTTGGGTACGCTTCCTTGAGTCTCCTGAGTCTCTCCTTTTCTTCCTGGTTCCTCGAGTTCCTCGTGTCTCCTGAGTTCCCCGTGCCTCCCTCCTTGTTTATGTAAGTTTTGCTGCCCCGTCAGCTTATTTATTTTGTACTTTTTATTTATCATTAAAAACCTATTTTTGTATATCTGCCGAGTTGAGTCCCTGTTCTGCACTCTGGGTTCGCTCCGACCACAAATCCTAACACATATCTTTAAGTCTGTCTACCATATGTATATTTTCTGTAATACATTAATAGTGGTGTCATTTTAATGAACAATGCTGCAGATAATACATGTTTTTATTGTGTTTACTCTGTGACACAGTTCACACTTGGACTTGTGATTATGTGCCTAAGAATTTCAGGGATGACCTGCAGAGTTTAATGCCATTAAGCAAAATAAGAAAAAGGAATGATTATATCTTTGAAAGTTTTTATTTAACACAAAGCAAAACCTATGTGTCATTTTAACTGCAGTAAACACATTTAAGTAAAAGTTGTCTGCCTGAAAAAAAGGAGCATTAGACATGACATAAAAAATAGGCTCTGATCATTTCAACTCCAGTTTGTCATCAACTCTAGTTAAAATACTGTCTATTCAACCTTGTAATGGGTCAACAGTGAACAGTATTTTAACTTCCTGACACCATTTTTTAAACTTGGACCTGATTGTCGAGCCATTTGGAGACATCTCTTGTCTCCTGTCCTAACATCCCATGAAATGACACATTTTAATATTACAGCAAGAATTTCTTTGTTCAAGTTCACAAGAAGTTGGTTTTCAAAGATTTTAGAGTCCAATCTGGCTCTTTTGGGAGAGAGAATCTGTCCTGTTGTACTGAGCAGTCTTTCAATAAGGCCATGGGTGGTACATACCTTATGGCTGACTCTCTTGCGTGGAATACATTTTGGGTGTGTTAGTGGTGCTGCGGGTGCACCCAGCTCAATGATGTATATACTAGAATATATGTCATTGGCCCAGCTCTTCTTGAAGGCGGGTCTAACGTTACCTGCCCACTTTGCAGTGATTCACTGGACCAGCTCCCCTCTCACCACTGGTTACTTTCAAAGTAACAAACAAATCAAAGCCGCAACATGAATGTAACTTGTAATGCCACGCATTATAGAAATGTAGTGTAGTAGAAAGTACAGATACTTGATGTAAAATGTAGTGGAGTAAAAGTATAAAGTACCCACATTTAACTCTACTTAAGTAAAGTACAGATACATGAAAAATGTACTTAAGTACAGTAACCAAGTATTTGTACTTAGTTACATCCCACCACTGCACAGCAGAGTGTGAAGCAGATGGGCAGAGGATCAGCACCTCTAAATCTGTCGTATTGGTCCCCAGTTGGAAAAGGGTGGATTGCCATCTCCAGCTTGGGGATAGGGTGCTGCCTCAAGTGGAGGAGTTCAAGTAACTCAGGGTTTTGTTCATGGGTGAGAGAAGAATAAAGTGGAGGATTGACATATGGATCAGTGAAGTTTCTCCAGTATTGCAAACTATTTCTCAATCTGTTGTGGTGAAGAGGGAGCTGAGATGTACAGTGAAGTTCTATGTTTACCAGTCAGTCTATGTTCCTACCCTCACAAACTTAGGGTTGTGACCAAAAAACAAAACTTTGGATACAGGTGATTGAAATGAGTTTTCTCTGTTCTCTTAGAAGTCTTGAAGTCCTTACACAAGAGCTGGAACAGGTGGCTCGGGAAAGAGATGTCTGGAAATCACTGCTTAAGGTGCTGCCTGACTCCGGGTGGGTGAGTTTTTGTGTGGATGGGTGGATGTTTGGATGGATGTTTAGATGGATGGATGGACAGATGGACAGATGGATGGATTGATTTGAAATCTTGTCCAATCTTTACAATTTTGATCACTAATAAGAGTTGGTGACCACAGAGTAGGACCATAGACTGATTAGTAAACAGAGAGCTTCACCAAGCAGCTCAGCTTCCTGTTCACCACAACAAACTGACGCAGAGTACACAAGACCAAACTGTCAATATAGCAGAAAAAAGATCAAAATTATACATCCAATGTACATTTAAAAACATTTTTTGCTGGATACTGTGCCCTAAATTGGTCAGATAAAAATGATGAAAACATTTCTTTATGTGTATGTGTGAGTGTGTGTTACCTGTTTTGAGTTCTAAGTGCATCTTATCAGTATCCGCATTAAAAGTCCGGTTGAGCTCCATCTCCATCTGGAAGGTCTGCCCTCTGCGGATGATCAGGTCATTTCCATGATACAGATCTGTGTGATGCTCCACTCTATTCTGACCCGTCTTGGAGCTCCACAGGTCCACCGAGCACACTGACAACGTCACTTCTAACAGAGAAAGACGTTGGGTGTTAACATTGCCAGTGCTGATTATTATGGTATGTTCAGGATAAATTCAAAGAAATAAGGAAATGTTTGTCATTTTAATATTTATCTATGCAAGTTTACCTTCTGTTTCCTTTGTTTCTCCATTTTCAGGATTTGGTTTGATGGGCTCGGGGGTCGGCTCTTTGGTGTATTCTATCTTCTCTGTAACATCATAGGATGTGCTGGTTTGGCGTTTGCAGCAACATGGACAGATCTTCCTGAACCAGCGACGACAGCCTCCCTCCTCCTGCTTCCTCTCCTCCACCTTCTGAATGGTGAGCTCCACCCTGGTGGGTGGGGCTGCCCCGGGGAAACGCCCTATTTCCGACGTGCTTCGTAGTGTCAGCCGTTCACCAGGCATCCTGAAAGACAAAGTAATGTTACGTAAACGAGTTTGAATTTACACAATAAATATCCATATGTAAATAATTTCACATTTTCACTAGCTCACCCTTCTTTTGAAATAAACGGCAAACCATCATGTCAAAATGGAAAACTTTGACCCATTTAAATGATCTTTATTAAACTATCATGTACAATTTAAAATTGAGTCTGTGAAAGACGGACAGCTTTGGCCTACTAACAAAATTACTAATTTACAAAGATAAATGTTTGGAAGATCATATCACCAAGACCCAGTGTCTCTCAAGCTCTCCTATATGTTTTTTAATCTTCTCATCATAAAACATCATGGCACGTTTGTTTAATGTTTTTCAAAATTACAACATTTCTTACATTCAGACACTCCCAAAGCATTGTGGGATACTTATCAGACCTTGTTGCATGTGATCTATCTTAACTCCTACACACAGCTGGATTCCATCAGCTGCAGATTAATGTGCTTTTTGTGGTCATGTATCACCATGCACATAGTATGTTGGCTAGTAATGTGTACCATATGAACATTTCTCTTGCTCTTAGGCCACACCCTCAAACAGAGTACTAATGGCCACAAAAATTTGATAATTCATTGCAGACACATCCAATCCTAGACCCATCCCCATATTTGTAATTTTGGGTCAAATGTCTTAGTTCAAATGGAGGGTGCTAAGGAAAATATATATAAAAAAGAAAAGCTGTTTATCATTTTTGAATCGTCACAAAAATCTACACAGTGCTGTGGAAGCACCAAAAAAAGAGTTCTTGTAAAACACCCACACACATTATGATACTGCAATGCAACCTTAATTAATGAATAATAAGCAGTTCTTAATGAATTATAAAGTGTTTATACAGGAATTAATAATGTATCTATAAACTATTTATTAACATCTATAAGGGGAGCTTTACTGTAAAGTGGTAATGATGTTTCTTATTCCCATATTCTGTGCTGTTTGTTTCATTTTGAAGCTAATTCACTTCAGTTCAGTTTATTTATATAGCGCCAAGTCACAACAGAAGTTTTTCTTTTTTTTTTTTTTTTAATTTACCCTTTATTTATCCAGGTAGTCTCATTGAGTCACGATAACTCGTTTTCAAGAGAGACTTGTTTAGAGAGCAGTTGGTGTGGGTTAAGGGCCTTGCTCAGGGGCCCAGAGTGGGGCGAATTAGGCTGGAGGGAGGTGTGGGTGTTTCACCTTTTCCACCCACATTTTGATGTTGACAATACTGGGATTGGAACCTGCGACTTTCCGATCACATGCCCATCTTCTCTAACCTCTGTGCCACCACTCCCCCAGGGTACTGAACAGAAACATTCATATACATTAAAAAATGTAGTTACCGGTAGTAACCTTATCTAGCTAAGGTAGGGTAGCCATCAGATTGCATTGAGTCTAATCTAATCTAATCTAATCTAGCCTAATCTACATGGGAAAATGTGGGTGTATACATGTGTTGACTGTAGAATATCAGAGGACTTGACAAATTTGTTGTTAGGAAGTACAGTAGTTGTATTTAGTGATAGAATTAGTTGCATGTTTCTCAAGCATTTTTTATTCTTTTGGTTAACAATGGCTAAAATGTTGCTTTAATGTTGATTTTTTTTTTTTACAGATTTTGAAAAAAGCACAACAGCAGTAAATTTATATGGCTGAGGTCAAAGGGCAAACAGCAGCTGAGGAGGGGTATGAAGGGGGGCCTGACAGTAACAAGCCTTCAAAATGTATGTTGAAGAAGAATGTGCCTGAGAACCATCTGTGTTTCTGACAGCGACCATTCATTATGTTAGCACTTGTGATTTTTTTAACTCTGTGTCTTCCTGAGTTCATCTGAAGACATTGAACTTCCCTCACTGATTCACAGATCCTCTTAATATTTGGCTGTATCATTTGGAATCTAAGAGATGGACAGAACGGAGCAAATCAACTGTATGATTTTGTAACAAACAAACAAACAAACAAACAAAAATATATATATACTGTATATACATATATATATATATATATATATATATATTTTTTTTTTTTTTTTTTGTTTTTAGGTAAAATAAACCAACATGTGAGTTAAAAATCTATGCTTTCCCCTTAACTTAATTTCAAATATTACAAATTAAATTGAACTTAAATTCAATTTGTATGAGTGAATTTTAAATGAATCTCCTTTTGGTGTATTTGTGTTATGACAAGCTTAAAAAAAAGACGATTTAAACTCTTTTCCACCAAGGTGGTCCAAAATTGGCTCATTAGTCATCCGCTCCCTAAAATTATGAAAAAGCCATTACACAAATCCATACTTTGCTCTTCTCATATTTTTGATGGATCTAAAACCTAAGCATCAGCCAAGCTTGAAATGAAGAATAGTCTTCATCTCGTCTGACGATCATTACTGCATGTATTAATTCCTCCTCTGTGCTGCCTGAGACCTTGCACTTCTTCTTGCATCTCATGTTGGCATGCAGGATGGTTGCTGAGCTTAGATATAAGCTGATCTGATTCAAATCAGCTTTTTGCAAATAACAAATGCCCAGGCCTGCTTGTTCAGTACTTTCTATATTTTAAATTCCAAAATTCAAGGTTCAAGGTTCTTTTTTGTCATTCGCATCACATGTGGTGGAACAAAACTGTGTACTCGAGGTCCCAGTTACACCCCAAAATAGCAAAAATATAAATTATAAAAAGAAACAGTATACAAGGATCCAAGATATACGTATGCTAAGCAATAATAATATAATACAATACGGAGTATTAAACAGCAGCCTGAACATGAGTCTGTTGTGAGCAGATGGGCATGAATACAGCAGTTTATGGGTAAGAAAGCAGCAGCATGGATAATCAGCAGCATGGATAAAGTGACATCACCAATTAAAGTGGCATGACAGTGGTTATTCTGGTTAGGGATTTATGAGTTTAACAGCTTCAGGGTAGAAGCTGTTCCTCAGTCTAGTGGTTCTGAAAATCTGACATAATTGCATAATTTTACAATTTAAAGTAAAGGAAAAAGTCCAGAACAAAATGAACCATAATCCGACTTTAGAAGTTGCATGATTACAGTGTATGGTAGAAGCTCTGTTTATTAAAACTGGAAAATACAGTATTATAGGGGTCAAGCTTTCTTGTGTGCACAACTTCAAGTTCACACAAAACCTAAAAACAGAAGGAAAAAGTCACAAAAGTTACTGAGATTCTTACTTTCTCTGGTTGAATTCTTCAGATCAGGGATGAAATTGTCCTCCTCTTCAACACTGCCTCAGTCAATTGATGAAAAGTTTTGGAAAACGTCTTCTGCCTCGACCTGCAGCACGCTTGGATCACACTATACTCAGTCAGTTCAGGAATGTGCTGCACAGTCCTTAAAACAGATCCACACCCCTCTCTGCCCTACTGCTCAGGCCTTACTCACGCCTACTGCCTTTCGTCCCACCCTGCTGAAGTTTCCCACTCCCACTCACGGGGAGGTCCCTGGGCTGGTAAGGGTGATTTGGGTACATGATGTGTCAAAGAGAGCACGTATTTCGACGGCATGATGAATTAGTGCGTGCGCAAACACATACAGGCAAAAACACGACGAGGGAAAACTGGGAGAGAAAGTTATTATTGTGCTACTTTTTGATTGCAGGCAGGAAACAGATGGTGGAGAGGCTCAGATAAGGAGCTCATGCTTCAGTCCATGCGCCTGTGGTGGAAAACACACAAAGCATATTTCTGAGAAACTAAGATCAATATTCTAATATCACCTTTTACTATCACCTTTTTAAACTGGCAAGACTGAAACGATCTTGAACCTAAAGTTGATACAGTCACACTCTGTCTCAGCCAGATTTGTTGGACTCTTTTGATTACATAAGAAAAAACTTCCCTCTTTCTTTCACTTCTCTCAACAGAATCAATGGACACACTCGCACTGACCTCTGATTCAAGCTCCATTTTTGAACAAGACCTCGGTGACACATGGACTTATGAACCATATAGCATCATCAAAAACTGTGAGAACAAATATTTCACTGAAGCATGTCGGCAAGTTTTATGATTGCGCAAAAAAGTTACAAAGGTGTTTAAGTTGGTTTAATAATGACTCAGGCTGTCTGAAGCCTTTTGAAACTTGGGCGGGTTCCTTACTCATTACTGATGGTGTAAAAGTTTTATAGTTTTGTTTTTTTTAAAGAGCGTTACAAATAAAGCACAGCATCACCAAACTCACTTGATTTCCTTGGCCAACTTATAACTTTCAATCTAATATAAAGACATCTGCCATCCAGAAGTTTATGTTAAAACATTTCACTTAAAACTGGTAAAAAAAGAAAAAAAAGCTGAATGATAAAAAAAATAAATGTTCTCAACATAGTCATTTATTACGTCACTGATTTCCATTCTTCCTGAAAAGGAAATTAAGATAAACTAAGTCAAAAAGCTTCCATAGCTGCTAAAGTTCATTCATTATTTCACAATATTACGACATCTCTGTGTTACAATTTCTGTAAAAGCAGAAGGCATCACTTCTAGCTTTCTTGATTTAGCCAAAGGTGTTCCCCAAGGATCAGTTCTGGGGCCAATCCATTATATTTCATATATCAGTTATCTTGATTGAGAAGCATCAAAAGTTCGTTTTCAGTTTACTTCTGGAAGGATGGAGTGGATGGAGAAAAATTTCTGGATTTTTTTGACAACAAAAGGATGTCAGAAAAGGTCAAAGGAAAAGTTTACAAGACAGTTGTGAGACCAGCTATGTTGTATGTTCTGGAGACGGTGGCACTGCCAACAAGACAGGAGAAAGAACTGGAAATGGCAGAAATGAAGATGTTGAGGTTCTCCTTAGGAGTGACAAGGATAGATAAGATTAGGCACAAGATCATCAGAGGTACAGCACAGGTTGAACAACTGGGAGATAAAGTTAGAGAGACCAGACTGAGATGGTTTGGACATGACCAGAGGAGGGACAGTGGGTATATTGGTAGAAGGATGTTGGAAATGCAGCTGCCAGGAAAAAAGACAAAGAGGAGATATATGGATGCAGTTAGAGAGGACATGGAGGTAGTTGGAGTGAGGACAGAGGATGAAGAAGACAGAGAGAGATGGAGGAGGATGACTCACTGTGGTGACCCCTGAAGAGGGAACAGCCGAAAGAAGAAGAAAAAACTGACAATACTGTGATGTACCTTGTTGTATTTACCCCTTGTCATGCACTTTATCTGCTCCAACAAATTTTTAATGTTCAGCACAATTTGGGTGATTCCATCTAGTTTTAAATGTTGAAAACATTTAAAATCAAAGAAACAGAATTTGTCTTGTTCTCCAATTCTTGACTCTTACTCTTATTCTTACTCTCTAGGGATCAGAGATTAAGTTATTGTATGTATAATATACAAATACTTGGGAACACTGACTAATGAGTTTCCCTCCTCCCACATCCAGTAGCTGATGAAAAATTTAACAAAAACTTTTCTTCTTTAGTATCAAATATTGCATTTAATACACCCTTTGATGGAGCTACAAGACTTCATATGTTTGTGGATTGCCTGTTTTGTCCTTTTAACCATTGGCAAATTCTCATTAACAAAGGTAAACTTTGTCTTCGGTACTCACATCTACAAACCTAAAAAAGAACTACAAAAAGTTTTCTAATCTTTGAGGTTGTTCCTGGGATCTGCTGGAGCCACTCTTCCAGTTTGGAATTCACTGCCCACTAGTGACTTATGACCACTGGCACCACTGAGGCCTTCCTCTTTCAGCCCTTGGTATTTCTCCAGTTTCTCATGCTCCTTCTAGATGCGTCAGTCACCTGGGATAGCTCCATGTACAACACTGCCTTCTTCTGCAGCTTGTTGGCCACCACAATGTCCTATTAGTTATGCATATATACATATGTGCAAAATCAGATTAGCATATTCACAAATTACATCTACTGAATGAGGAGATACCTGCACAAACATGTCAAATCTGATATAACTTAATGTCTGGACTATAAGCCGCTACTTTTTTCACACGCGGTGTGTGGCTTATACAACGCTGCGGCTAATTTATGGATTTTTTTTAATGGGCTAACGAGCTTCATGCAACTAAAACATTTAGCTTCGTTACACCCAGGCGCTCACATAGCTGCTCAGTACACATCTCTCTTGGTGGGTAGCGAACAATGACTTCCTGGTAGACTACTGTTTTGTTTTGTTTTTTTATCAGCCCTGTTACAGGTACTGTAAAAAAAAAAAAAAAAAATAAAAAAAAATTGTATTTGTGTGTATTACCGATACATACTAATTAAAAGTTAAAAAAAAAAAAATCTTTCTGTGTAAATATCTCATGTTACAACGTGACCACCCGCAGCTTATAGACAAGTGCGTCCTATTTATGTAAAATTTTAATTTTCTTTTTAAATTTAGCAGATGCGGCTTAAATTCAGGTGCGCTCAATAGTCCAGAAATTACGTAAATGTTTAAAGAAGTTATTTTGTGGCTAAACCTTGCAAACACTTTTTTAAGGAGCACAATATTTGATGAAAAATATCAATTGTTGGAGCAGGATTTACAGCCAGTATAAGGTTTTAGAAGTTGTTTATGCTTTATTCAAAAAACATTCAATACAAAAACAACTGGACTTTATTTGTAACAGAAGACGTTTTGCTCCTCATCCGAGGAGCTTTCTCAAT